TTGGTACAAGTTTCTCCAATCTACGGAATGCACAGCCTGCATTTGGTATAAACTGGAGCGAAAGGATGAGAAAGACAGATTCATAGGGCAAGCTGCGGCGAAGATGGGGTGCAGGTAGCGGGGAAAGTTGGGGGAAGAGCACTGGAACATTTGGAAGGGGCGAAGAGATGGCAATGGAGCAGAGGGGCAAAGGGATCGACTGGGAAAGGGCGGTTAACTCCCCGGGGAATCACCCATCTCTGCAGTTTGGCCTGACCAACTCTGTGTTCAGCCAATGGCATGCAAGATGAGATGGAGGAAGTAACAAAGCAATGCAGGCGTGCGAACTGTAAAACATTTCCAGAACGTTGCACGCAGAAAGCAAGATGGCCTGGTATTTATTTGTTACCTACCCAGCCCATGTGGGTGAGTGGTACACTGATGACAAACAGATCCGAGTTCAAATCCTGAACAAGACAAAAAAAGAATCTGAGAAAGAAGTAATGACTACCGAAAACTGTGGAATGCCATAGGACCAAAAAAAAAAATTACTACGTGGGCACCCTGAAAAACTGGCTTTGACCACCACGGCTACGCAATCCTGCATTGTTCGCTAAGTTGCTTGTCATACAGTGTCAAATGGGACTCTGTAATTGAATGACCTTTGCAGTCACCATTCCTTGATACGGCTGGGAGTCCCATTGCGCATGGTGCCTCCTTATTTTTGACGTCGAACTGTCCTACTTTCTATCATTGTCCGAAGCTTGCGCATTGGCTCGTCTTGTTACTCTTCTCACAGGGGAGCCCCCTTCTTCAGCCTCCCTCATGTAGCCAATTATTCCCACAGGCAATGTAACGAGCGCAGAGGCAGAGGACGTGGAGGGAGCAGAGGGAGAGAGAGAGTGAGAGCACACACACACACACTCACTCACTCACACGACTGAACTCGACCGGACGCAAACCAGAGGCTGAGGCACAAAGTCGAAGTCTTGGTTTCAAAGGCCAGAGTAGCAGTGAGTCACACTGCACATGAAAACAGCGTCTCAGAACTTGTTCCAAGCTGAATGCAAAACTGGTCCCCGTATTGTACGGGGCACCGGTATAAGTATTGGGTGTCCGGTACAGTACCGGGGGCAAATCTGCAAAGCCCCAAGGGCAGAACTGAAAAATGTGGAATTTGAAAGTGGCGCCCAGTTTGCAGGATGGCGCCAGGTGCCCAGAATCCGACGGTACCGAAAAGGAAGGCGCTGGATGGCGCCAACTGTCCCAGAGATCCGTTGGTAACCAAGGAAGGTTCTGGAAAACCGGGTGCCAGGCAAAAACGAGAAGCAGCACAAGGAAAACAGAGAAAAATAAAAATAAAAATAAAAGAAAACAGTAGTCCAGGTGGGTGTGAGCCCGCAGACCAGGGATCGAGCCCTGGCGGAGTCCGTAACACTATCCCCTCCCTCTAAGAGGCAACGTCCCGGCTGCCAATAGTCATGGAACAATGCAAAAAGTTGTGAAGGACGGGACGGGGCCGAGCACTGGTCATCAAGGTGAAAAGGGAAAGAGGGGTATAATGTAGGTGTCACAGGGTCAGGGTGTCTAGGTGGGGGAGTGAGCACAGGATTATCCTACTGATGAACTAGGGGTGCTGCAGGGGAAACAGAGTAGTCCTAAAGATGGTTGACAAGGGTGAAGAGGTAACAGGGTTTCCTATTGATGATCTACAAGGGAGAGCGGGTAACATGGTCTCCTATGGATGATCTACAAGGGAGGGCAGGTAACAAGGTTTCCTATTGATGATCTACAAGGGAGAGCAGGTAACAGGGTTTCCTATGGATGTTCTACAAAGGTGAACGGGTATTTCAGTGGAAATTCTACAAGGTTATAGGTTGTCAGGGAATGAAATAAAAATAATAATAAAATAAAATAAAAATTGTTTGTTGCAAGGTTCAAGGGCACAGTTTGCATGTACAAGGGTTGGGATGTTTGATGGGATGTGGGTACAGAGTCGGAGGTCTGCAATGGGTCACGGGGTCTGGGGGAGGTCTTCAAGTGTCTTGATCGGCAGCAAGAAGGGGTCTTCGGAAGTCTTGAGCAGTCCCAGGTCAGCGGCAGCAATAGGGGTCTTGAAGGAGGTCTTGGTCAGGTCGATGATGGAAGCAAGGCGAACTGCAAAGGTCTTGGTCACGTCGATGATGGAAGCAAGGCGAACTGCAAAGGTCTTGGTCAGTGGCAAGGGGGGTCTTCAATGGTCTTCGTCAAAGAGAAACAAGATGCTGAGTGTTGATGCGTGGAACGTCAAGAGGTCCATGTTCGATGGCTGTGGGCACGTCTGGTACATGATCTGCAGTGGAGTCTGATCCGGTAGCAAGGAAGTCGCAGACTGGTACATGGTTCATGTCACAAGTAGCTGCTCCAGGGAGTCTGCGAGGCAGGGTGTCGGCCAAGTGTAGCAGCATGGTGGCCAATCCAACTGCATAATCTCCATGAACAGTGGTGCAACAAGCCATTGTCCTCGTGCGCATGCCATTAGATCCTTTATCGCCGGCGTCACGCAGGTCCACAAGCATTGGACAAGATGGACAAGGAAGTGGGGAGGGCGAATGGGGCAGGGCTAGGCAAGGGACAAGGGCAAATCAGACATCAAGAATCGGGGTTAAGGGGAAGGGTGGTTGTGGCAGGGGTGTGTGTAGAACAAGGTGGCGAGGTTGTAGCAGGGTTTAAGCAAGGGTTCAGGGTTTTAGCCAAGGTATAGGCAGGGAGATAGCTAGGATGCAGGGTGGGAACGATCATAGGCACGGACAAGGCTCATGGCATTCTTGATATTTTCAAGGGGTTCCCATATTGATTCTTCATCCGGGTAGCCTGTCCACTTAACTTTGTATTCTTTGATTGGTTCCGGGTGATCAGCGACTTGGGTTGTTCTACAGCCAATGATGGATTCCATGGAGATTTCAGGTCCAGTGGGGAGCATGATAGGAGGGGGACGAGGGTGAGGGCGATCAGAGAACTGTGGCGGGGATTCATGGTATTCTTTGGGGTATTCGACATGGAAGACAGCGTGGACACGGCTCATGTCAGGGGGAAGCTGGAGTCTGTAATTAACGGGGGAGGTTTGTTCAATGATGGGGAAGGGACCGAGCCACTTGTTTGAGAGTTTCTTGGACAAGCCCTGTTCGGGTTCAAAGCGTTTGGCGGAGAGCCAGACCTTGTCCCCTACTTGGAAGGTGATATCACGAGGATGCTTGTTGGCTTGTTTAGCTTGTTGTTCCTGGGTGTGTTGGATTGACTCGATTGCTTCTCTTAGGAGACGGTTCATTGTTGCAACCCATTCATTGAGAGAGGGGCAGGGGGAGGATGGGTTGAGTTGAGAGGGGAGCAAGAAATCAGAGGGCAAGAGGGGGTGATAGCCAAGGTCAAGGTAAAAGGGGGACATGCTGGTGGAAGGGCAAACGACATTGTTGTAGGCAATCTCGACGGCGGTGAGCAACTGATCCCAATCATGCTGGTGGGGATGAAAATACTTCCGCAGGATTCTTTGGAGATTATCGTTCATCTTCTCGGTTTGTCCGTTGGTCTGTGGGTGGAATGCAGTGTTGTACTTGAGCGAGGTTCCGTAGGCATGGAAGAGTTGTTTCCAGAATTGGGAGAGGAAGCGGGGGTCACGATCAGTGATGATATTCTCGGGGAGGCCGTGGTGTCGGGCGACATGGTCGAAGAAGAGAATGGCAATGTCTTTGGCATTGTGCGAGGTGGTACAAGGAATGATTGAGCACGTTTGGTCAAGCGGCAAACAATGACGTAGATGCAATCATGCCCGCGGTCGGTCTTGGGAAGACCGCACACGAAGTCCATGGAAACGGACTGCCATCGGTGCATGGGGATGGGCAATGATTGGAGCTTACGGGTTCGGCTCGGTTCGAGGGGTTGACAGCCTGACATGTGGGGCACGAGCGGATGTAGGCTTTGACGTCGGTAAGGATAGAAGGCCAATCGAAATATCAGGAGATGGTGCCAAAGGTTTTCTGGAAACCAAGGTGGCCAGCGGTCTTGGCGTCGTGGTGCTCGATCAAGAGTTGGGTGCAGAGGCCACGGACGTCAGGGATGCAGAGTCGGCGAGTGCCTTTGGTCTCGATGTAAAGGAGGTTATCATGTAGGGAGTAGTAGGGGAGGGGGTCGAGGTCGCGGAGTTTGTTGTAGATGGTGGAGAAGTCGGGGCAAGAGAGGTATCCTTGGGTGCAGCGATGACGGAGCGATGACAGGAGCTGGATGTGGGTCATGGCGGCATAGACTTTCTCGGGGGGTTTGTGATCGGGGCAGCAGGAGAGGGCATCGGCAACGCGGTTGCTCTTGCGAGGGGTGTGACAAATGGTAAAGGTAAATTGGGCAAGGAAGTCTAGCCAGCGGGCTTGGCGCGGGGTGATGTCTTTCTTGGTCAAGATGGAGGAGACGACGGCGTTATCGGTACGGATGGTGAAGTATTGCCCGTCGAGGTACGGGCGCCAGACTTTGAGGGCGTAGACCACGACGAGGACCTCCTTCTCGTTGGATGGGTAGTTCATTTCTACGGGAAGGAGTTTCTTGCTGGCGAATGCGATGGGGTGCTCACCGGGTGGGCATTGGGAGTGAGTAGGGGAGTTCTTGATGGAGGGGGTTTCCGCGGGGTCGGGGGGAAAGTGCTAGGATAAGACGACCCCGATGGCAAAGTCGGAGGCATCCGTGGTGACGAAGAAGTGGCGAGTGGGGTCGGCGATTTTGAGGACGGGGGCAGTGGTGATGAGAGTTTGTCGAAGGCGGCTTGGCGGCGGTCTGTCCAAGCGAAGGGTTCGGTGGCACGGGTGAGCTCATGGAGAGGGTAGGAAACATCGGAGAAGTTGCAGATGAAGGGGCGGTAGTAGTTGGCGAGTCCCGTGAAGGAGCGAAGTTGGGTTAAAGTGGTGGGAGGGGGGAACTCGACGAAGGCAGAGAACTTTTTGGGGTCCATGCGGATGCCGTCGACGAAGACAATGTGACCAAGGTATTCTACGCTAGAGGCAGCAAATGTGCATTTGTTGATCTAGCGTAGAATTTTTGGTCGCGGAGGATGGCGAGAACTTGGCGGAGATGATGAAGGTGGGACTCGAAGGTGGGGCTAAAAACAAGGATGTCGTCGAGGTAGATCACGACACAGACTTCGAGGAGGTCGCTAGAGATGTGGTTCATGGTGGATTGGAATATGGCGGGGGCGTTAGTGAGACCGAAAAGCATTACGAGAAACTCGTGGTGCCCGAAGCGGGAGCAGAAGGCGGTCTTGTGGGTGTCCTCCTCGCGGATGTGGATCTGGTGGAAGCCGCTGCGGAGGTCGATCTTGGTGAAGTATTTGGCTCCACGCAGGCGATGAAGAAGTTCGGATATCCGGGGAAGCGGATACTTGTTCTTGATCGTGATCCGGTTCAAAGTGCGGTAGTCTGTGCACATGCGGAGTTCCGAGGTGCCGTTCTTCTTGACGAAGAGACAGCTGGTTCCGAAGGGGGAGGAGCTAGGCTTAATGAATCCTTTTTCAAGGAGTTCATTGAGCCGGCGCTTCATTTCTTCGGCCTCCGGGATGGAGAGCCGGTATGGGGTTTGACAAGGGGGGGAGTGGCCGGGCTCGAGATCGATGGTGTGGGAAACACCTCGGTCGGGAGATAGTCCGGCGGGCAAGGATTCGGGAAACACGTCTTTGAATCCGGATAGGAGGGCGGAGATCCGAGGTCGGAGGGGGGGTCTTGGTCGGGTTTGTCCGTTGGAAGCAAGTCCTTGGGACGGTCGCGGTCAATGACAAGGCAATAGTAGGCGGAGTCGGGGTGCTCACGGGTCATGTGAAGAAATTGGTGAGAGACGAGGGAAGGGGTGGAGGGAGGGAGAAGGTAGGGGATGTCAAGGGGTGGATCTTGGGGGGTGGAGAGGCGGACGAAAAAGGGATGGAAGGTATAGGGCATGTAGCGGTCGAGCCAAGGAGTCCCGAGTACGATGTCGCACATGAGGTGCATGACATCGAAGGAGACCTGACTGCGAAGAGGGCCGACAGTCATTGTGGTCTCGGGGACTGTGCGGTCGACGACGATGGTTGAGTCCTTATCCCCTGGGCGGATGGTGATCGGGGAATCATAGTCGGTGGAAGAGAGGCCGACTTTGCAGACACAAGCATCCGTGATGAAGTTGCCGGTGGCACCAATGTCGAGAAGGGCCCGGAACTTCACCGTCGATGCTCCAAAGGAGACAGCGACGAACTTGAGCTGGAACTGGGCGGTCCCAGCACAAACGGAGGAGATCATGGCGTTGAGGCAGCGGTGCTCGAGGCCTAATCTAACAAGCCGAGTGTGTCGGTCTTATTCCTCAACGAGATTGGAGAAAGTGATGGTGGAGGGGTTGGGGAGGAGGGTAGTGGAACATGTGGCCGTAGGGTGCTCAGCCGACGGAATAGAGGACGTCGTCGGGAGGAGGGCAGGCGGAGTAGACTACGACGCCTGGGGGGGTGAAAGTCGTCGCCGGGGGAGGGATTGGCAGACGAATTGTTGATGCCAGGACATGGTTACAAGGGGCGGGGGGACACTGTTCAAGAGGAGGAGGGCCCAGAGGCCGGGGTGGAGGAGGAGGAAGTGGATGTGGGAAGGCTGGATCCTGTGGGGCGGGAAGCCTGGTGGGTGGAGCGGCCGACCTTGGGGCAATTGGTTTGTTGATGCCCCAGCTGGCGGCAACGGAAACAACCGTCGTTGGCCTGGAGGAAGGCGCGTTCGGCGGTGGTGAGCTTTTTGCGACGAGGGGGTCGGGGGGAGGAGGAAGGTTGGGAGGCCAGGCGTTGCCGTTCCATCCTCATGAGATGGACAGCCTGGAAGTCTTCCTCGGTGAATTGGGCTGGGTCAAGGGACTCGGGAGAGGAGTCAAAKCYGTCRTCGGAGGGGAGTGACGAGTCGTCGGAGGCCATGTTGTGGAAAAACCGGGTGCGGTTGGGGGCGGYTGGTCGTTGAGAGCGGAGGTGAGGAAGGCGATCATGGTGGAGAAGGCGGGTAAGGAGATCGGTGAGAGGGAGCTCGGGCTCATGGGCGAGGGCTGCGGCGAGGTGGGGGAAGCATACCCGCTTGATGCGGGAGATGAAGACGTAGTCCGGAATGATAGTCGACGGGATGTGGAGGCGGAGGGAGCGAACGTATTGGATGAATCGCTCGGTGAGGCCGGTTTGGCGGAGGTTGCAAAATTGATCGTTCTATAGTCATCGATGGTCTTTTGCGGACGGAAGGTGGCGATGAGAAGGTCGGCCCATTGAAGGAAGGTGATGCAGGGAAGGCCGTTGGCTCGGCGGTTGTTGGCTTCGATTAACCACCATTGAGCGGCGGCGCCTTGGAGGCGGGAGGTTGCGGTGGGGAGCCAATGAGCTAGGGGCATGTTGTGGAGATCGAAGGCATTTTGAATTTGAGAGAGGAAAAGGAGGACACCCTAGTGGGGGAGGCCGGAGAACGTCGCGATATCGGTGGCGCGGAAGGAGCGGGCTATGTCCCCGTTGCGGGGGACAATGCAAGCGAGGGTGTTGAAGTTGCGGTCGTCGGGAGAGGTCGTAGCAGGTGTGATCCTGACTGCAGTCACCAAGGAGGTAGCAAGGAGGAGGTTGGGGTATGGCGGGGTAAACGCCCAAAAGGACTTGGGAGTAAGAGGGGTGGACAGAGGGGACAGTGGAAGTAGTGAGGATAGGTTGGGTGAGGGGGGAGGAGAGGCGAAGGGGAGTGGTTCGTGTAGTGGTGGAAGCCCTTGTAGGTTGTGAGGAGGGGAGGGAAACGGGTAGGGAAGTGACGGGGGTGGAAGAAGATGTGGTGGAGGATGGTGGGGGGGTGGTGTTGGAGGATGAGGCCTGGCCGGCTTGGCCGGCGGAGAGGTTTTGGCCAGATTGACTGGAGGAGGGGGGGGGTGATGACGTCGTGACGACGGTGATGGCGGGTGTGTGGTTTTCGAGGGAGGTGACATGATCGGATATGGAGGTCATGGAGGCCTCTATTTTGCGGAGCGAGGCAGAGAGTGCTTGAAACATGGAGAGGAGAGATGTGTTCTCCCCGGTGCCTGGCTGGTCGACAAGCTCGCGGTGGATATCCTCGACGGAATCCA